TCATACTTGTATTATATATTTTAACTTGTTGCATGCTCAAATATTGAAAAACGTCTTTATTTTTCACACTCTCCCTCCCTCAGTCTGAAACTAACTTTGTGAGTTTCAACAAAATTGCTTTGCTTGGCAACCACTTGGGTCTGTGTTGACTTTCTGTCAGCTGGTGACATTCACATCACATGCACTGCAGCTGTGAATAAGCAGGACAGAATATAATATGTTGAAAACTGTGAAATCCCAATTTTGCAGAAATCCTGCAGAAAAATCTACCTTAAAAGAAGATATAAGCATTTTTAAACTGTTCTAATCTGGCTTGAAACATATTATCTGCAGGTTCCAACATTGTCCTTTAGTTTGATAGTGTCCCTGTTTGCTTACACCAAATATCCTCGTCTTTTTTATCTTCCACAACTGTCAAACTATCACCCTCATTATTTTACCATCAACAACAGCAACGCGTTTATAACTCACCAAACATGTCGTCGTCATTGTTTAGACATTGGCAGCCTCGCATGACTTAGATGAGCCAGACCTAACACCTTGTTCCCCTGATGAAAAGTTGATGATATTTACGCTATGGTTTAAACAAAGATGATCTGTTTGGCCTCTTGTGGTCGCAGGTTTCATTTCACTGCCAAAGATAATAATCTTCATCAATCGTTGAAGTCCAGTTTATTTGTGCAGTCCAGTATCACACACACAACTGTCAAGGAAGCAATCTGTCATGGTCTTACAAAACTGCATTTGATAGCCACTAACAATGCAGAACCTTCCCACAGCATTCAGAAGGTAACAATGATTTGAGACAGAGACAACGTTTTTTTCTCATGCTTGACTTCATTTATTTTGACAATTTCTTGTTTTCAAAGCAAGTACAATTTAAAAGCAACACCTCGGGATAAACATATTTGTTTATTTGACATGTCCTCCATCATATTGCGGCGCAACACATATTTGTTCCATTCTTTTGTTTCTAGCTGTCTTTCACTATTTATGACTCATCATATTTCTGAGGTTGAGTTGCAACCTCAACTAATGAAACTCACAGCCAACTTTTCTTTGAGACTCTCTCTGACCACCAGAGACGCCATACATCCTCAAAGTGCAGTAATGTGCTGCATGACTTGCTGTCAGTCTTTGGAGTTTTGGTTTTTATCTGCTGCTCCATACACCACTAGCGCCAAAGGGTCTCCAAAACTGTCTATACAATCATTTTCTGTCAGCACATTTTGCGTGCAAATTGTGCTTCAACTGTAAAAAGTCAATGTGATGCAACATGGACAGACATAAAAGGGGCAGGCAGTCTGTTTGGGCTTAGCTTGAGAACCAGATCATCATCAGATGGTCAAGTCCCCCAAAAATATACATTGTCTGGACCAGTGCTTCTCAAAGTGTGGTCCGCGGACCACTGGTGGTCCGTGAGCGCCCCCTAGTGGTCCGTGAGTATATTGGTAAAATTTCACATTTGAAATAAATTAATTAATTTAAGTTTTCCGCACTCTCGCGGGAATATCTCCGCAATGGAACGAGCTTAAGTTTCACTTTCAATTGCACGATATAGCCCAGATAAACACCTTCATCACACATGTTGCCACTTGTTTGTACCATTTTCAGGCGATTTGTAAAAAACAATGTGTTTTGGGATATTTGTGGAGTTAGGTGGTCCGCGAGTGTTTTTTTATTGGTTAAGTGGTCCTTGGCATGAAAAAGTTTGAGAAACACTGGTCTGGACAGACCCCCAAACTGCTCCAGCCCGCCCCACTATGGCAGCCACTTCCCTCTGACACGTCTTAATGCATACGTTTGTTACGTACTGTGTGTTTATCATTAAAAGGGAATTTATCCATGGCATTTATAAAGTCTATGTTTCTTCTGAAAGGTAAAAGCGTATTTTTTCAGTCCTTTGGTATAAGGAAGAGAACCAAAATATAGGTCTTGGGACACCCAAAATAAATATATACATTTAAGGTATGAGCATATGTTCAAAGAACTACAACTACTATCACAATGTGTTGATTTTCCGTTTAAAATCTATCAGCATAAATACTTAAATAAGGCAAACTATCTTCAGAAGATGTTGATCGTTTCCGGATTTAAATGAAATTGAATCAATGTGTTGTAGTAACACCACAATAGGAAGAATTGCGGAGAAAACCGGGAATCCTCCTCTCCATTTGAGCGTGGAGAATACCAGAAATAACAGACTGAACTTTTTCCACACCTCCACCATGCGTTAATCACCTCAACGCCAATGTGAATGCAGCCCAGAAGCCTCTTTGATGCATCCACCTTTGCAGTTTCAGAATATATACGTAAGTCGTTCAACACTTGATGTTTGATGAGCCACACTGACTGAATATATGAAACAAAGTCTAGTAAGGTAACGACACTGTGATTCACCTTTTTCTCTTTGTGGTGCAGAACGCTGTTTGACATTGAGAGAAATAAAAGCAGTGAGTTCTTTGTGCCGACATCACCAGATTCAACCCACAGAAAATGTCCCGTTTCTTAAAGACACGACATTGCACCGTTCAACACGCAAAGCAGAATAATAAGCCGTCTGAGAGCAACACCGCTATTAGACACTATTTTCTTCAATGCTGCTGAACACCTTGCTTTCAGCGTAACCAACACACACTTTTAAATGGAGTTACAACACACACCTTTTAAATGTTCTTTCCTTCTTCTTGTTGTATTTGTAGTTGATCTTTTTCCAGTCTTTTCTGTCTTTCTCTGTCACTGTTAATAGAGTCATTTAAAAAAAAAAATCCCCAATCCATCATGCGTCATTTGACAGTTGCTGCAATCACATATTTAAATAAATAAAAAAATAGTGCTTCAGAAACTTTGTAAATATTTGTATACCTATTATTAATTATGAAAAGTTATTGACAATCTATTGGTACCATGTGATTGCTATTAGGGCTTTCGGTCATATCGATTTCTTTATATTTGTGTCCCATAAATGACTAGAAAGCCATATAGTGCATTATCAAAAACATTGTTCTTTGGTATTGCTTCAGTCAGTCACCGTTTTATGACATAACGTCCTATTTGAACAGGAAAAGGACTTCACTAAAGACGTAACAAAAGCCTCTTATGGGCCTTTAATCTCCCACTCTGGCTGCGGAGGTGCCATTAAAAGTGTGTTTATCACATGCTGCTCTATAAAGAGAAAGGGCACCACAGATAAGATAATAAGCGTGTATTGTTTTTTGTGACTTTGGGCTTTAGCAGCTCACAAACACATACACCACATTGTCTTTCACACTTTGTCACATTCACACACACACAATGTCTGATGTGAATGTCCCATGGAGATATAAATATCAGCAGCATCACATCATACGTCCATAACTCCATGGCCACCATTCTTCTGCTACAGCAAACATACTGTATCCTGCACTCAGGAAGAAATGTCTGATGTATTTGAACTATTTCATGATGTCTGCCTTTCCTTTTTGTGTCATATCCGTAAAAATGCCTTGTTTCTCTGTATTATATGTTTATAAATAGAAATACATATAGCCAGTCAAATCAGTTCATTTTTTATGTAATTGCGTAAAGAATCAAAAACGGGTTTATTGCCAGGTAGGTTCACACGTACGAGGAATTTGACTTGATGTGGTGCATACATAAAATATGTTTTTTTAAAAAGTACACAGATAGCGAACTACATTAAGAACACTGTAACAAATATATAGTTAGAACGCAATAAAGCAGTAATTTACAGCGAAATAGAATACAGTGAATTATAGAATATGACATTTGTGCAGTAAGCAATATTTGAACATTGTGTGCATTAATTCAAGCAGTTGTATAGTGCATTTCCTGTTCTTTCCATTTATTTGTGTTGTATAGGTTTTTCTGCATGTTAATGGTGTGCAAAGGCTTAAAAGTTCTCTCCAGTGGGAGTTTCTCTCCCACACACTTCCCCCCCTGCCTGAAACGCCTCCATTGGACTTCTTTGTTAACTTCAGTATCGTAATGACCTCACTACTCTTACGCGTCTATTGGCTTGTGCTTTATCACACTGTACGTGATAGGCTAAGGGACCAGACATTTCCGACATAACTTTAAGCTGTGGATGAATCACAGCAGAGCCGGCCAGTTAACCAATCAGAGCAGACTGGGCTCTGGTTTCAGACAGAGAGTGAAAAGAGGTGCTGCAGCACAAGAGACAACTGAAACCATTTTTAACATTAAAGCATGGAAACACAGTGTCATAGTAAGGGCAACAAATACAAATATGAACCTGATAATGAACAAAATAGGGCCCCTTTAAATGTTATTGAATTTAGATAAGGTCTATAACATGTATGATGACAGATGTCCTGCTTACAAGCCATTACTATCAAATACATTTTAACAAACTACACTGTATCTATTCTACAGGCACATTATTTTTGCAGTGTGCACATCTTGGTTAAATTAAATAGAAGTCAATGTTGAGATTTGATTTATGGTACAAAGCTAAAACTGGATCGGTTCTCTCCAGCCCAACTATAACCAAGACTTTACATTTCCCAGAATGTCAGGGTAGAGTAAAGCCAGTGGAAACAGAACATCCTTTCCAACATCATTTCCTTCGAAATGTGTTCTTAATTTTTGAGAAAGACTTCCACTTACAGTACGATGTCACTGGCGAAAAATATGGGCTGTAGCCAGCTTTCTACACCATTGTCTTTGCATTTTATTTCGACTTTTATAGTGAAATATAATTTGCAATGATAAGGAACAGTCAGACAGATTTGTGAAATGATAACATGGCAACTTGTTACCAAACTATTTTAACATTGCTGTGTATTTCTGGACAAAATTGATCAGAAGAAAGGAGACATTTCTTTCTGTTTTCCCAAGCATTGGTTCTTTCCGTACCCATTTACTTACTTACTACAAAATGTGCTCCTAATGATGATGTTGTGGATGCTTACTGCCAAACCTTTTAGGCTTGAAAATAACTCCTACATCATTTCCTCCCTCTTTCTTTCTATCTCTAGATGCCAGGCCTTTTGTCCAGCCCTGTGTGTCTGACAGTCATCTGGGTTTTATCTTGGTCGCTGCGTCCCATTCGTGCTCAGATCCAACCTGATGAAGGTATGCATGCACACCAAGCAGAACGCCATTTTCCCAAGGACAGATTTAAAACACATAGAGAGGACACACATGCTGTTAAGAATCAGGCACGGATGCCTTTGGGGAAACTATTTTGGGCACTTATCTTAACTCAAAGTACTTTGTGGGACCTAAAGCTACTGCTGAAGAAAAGAGGGAGGAAACGCATCTAAAATGTCATAAATCCAAGACGATTTGTTTGTTTAAACACATTGTTGTTTGTTTTCACGGTTCTTTCTCTGTCCAATTTAAATGTAAACCTTTTACTCTGCAAACAATAATCCTATTGTTAGAAGAATCATTTTTTTTTCACAAAGCCCTTGAGGGATCTGTTTGGCATTAAGAAATCTTTTTTTATTTCTCTCTCTCTGAAGACTGCATTTCCCTCTTTGTATTAAACGCTCTTCATTACTACTGCATCTCTTTATATCACGGTAACAATGAGGACAGTCACCCTTGGCCCCTTAGGTTAAAATATCAGAATTTTCCCTTCCCATTAATTGTACCCCTCCAGGGTCCTTTTTTATTGTTTAGAAAGTACTGAGTTTCGTCCAGCTTGCACTTTCTGGGTCCACCCTGCCTTCGGTTCTCAATGTCACGAGAACTTTGCAGCCATCCTGTGTGAATACAGTGTGTGGTTTTGTGTGTGTGTGTGTGTGCGCGCGTGTGTGTGGTTTTGTGTGTGTGTGTGCGCGCGCGTGTGTGTGGTTTTATGTGTGTGTGTGTGTGTGCGTGTGTATGTGTGCACGCGTGTGTGTGGTTTTGTGTGTGTGTGTGTGTGTGCGTGTGTGTCTGGGCCGGGTCGGGCCGTGTTGCCAGAGGCAGAATCAGATATGAGTGGAACGCTGCGGGTTTGGGGAATAATGTACTTCACTGCCAATAAAACATGAATACACACATTCAGACCAGCCAACCATTTGCACTGCACCAAGGTGTGTGTGTAAAGAAAATCTGGTTGAAACTGAGATGGATGGAAAGATTGACACAGGGAGAAACAATAAAAACAGAGACAGAGGAAGATTATATTTTATTTTACATTTAAGGAGGAATTCCTTGATTTTGAACGTTGACCCTCTGTTGTTGCCTGGTTGTGAGAACACTGCAACAAGTTGTTGCCAAACTGCAAGGGCCATAAACAAAAGTGTCTTCTAAACAAACACCAGAAAAGGTTTACCGGCTAATGTGCATTTCAAAAGCTTGAATTACAACTTTTACTGGTAAACTATAGATCTTTTGTGAGTTTTTGATAGAGATTTTGTCCGATTCTGATTTCCTTTCTTCTTAGGATACATTTGAGATACAATACAAAAACAATTTTGCTCACATTTAATGGAAAATCTAATGGTATGTTCATACCTGATGAAATATTATGTTATACTGTTTACATTTGCCTAGTATATATATTTATTATCTATATAAAACAATGTTAATTAATTGGTTTACATACATATATATGAATCAGTTTGGACGAAGGCATCTTACTGCCCGCCCCACATTTACTGACAGAGCGGAGGGAGAGAACCCATGTCCTGCTCTGGTGAAAGGTCGGATAAATGACAGATTGCTTGGTGTATCTCAATTGGCAAAATGAGCAATCCAAAACGCCGTGTCCAATAAATAACCGCTGTCTTAGTAGCTCAGTTTTATTAACCATGCCTCGTGTTACATATGACAAATTGTTTCCCGTACACACCACAGCAGAAGGAACAGGCTTTCATTTGCTTATTAAAACTAAAAACTCTCAGTAGCTTTCATTGTCCTCCTTTCTTTGTGTCTCCTCCACTGAAACACACGAATGTAGCCACAAAATCACAGTGGAGCACTTCGCTACTCTTTCCCCAGCTGTTTCATTTTGTGCAGCCACTAAAATAACAGAAGGACAGCAAGCTAGGTGTGAGTGAAAACCAAGTATTGAAAAGGCCTTCAGTGCAACCTCCAACTTGAGTATGTGTAACATTTAATTTAAGATTAACTTAGTTGGTCCCTGAAGGACACATGAGGTTATTTCAATAGGGAAAACTAACATACATATACCAATACAGCAAATTAAAAAACAACATCTCCAAAAAGCTTCACGTGTCTGGTTTGAAGTGACCAGAAAATACCTTTTTTAGAACCAAATTAATGATTTAGGTTGTATCCTTCAAAATTCAATGCCAGTTAAACTTGTGACCTAAACATACATTTGTTTTTTAAAGATTAAGAAGAAAAACAAAACTCAAACGCGGGACAAATTGTTTGTTACTTAGGGAGCAGAGGCCAGTAGGGAGTGAGCATGCCTGAGTGATTGAGGTTGAGAATTAACGAAGGTGTGTGCGTGGCAGGCTGGCAGTCAAAGTGATGTTTTTCCACTCCACATCTACTGTAAATGCCAGCTTTCATATTATGGAGCCAAGCTAAACACACACACACACGCTCCAGATAGAGTATCAATCTGGCAAATCACTTCAGTCACCGCAAATATTTGCTCAGGTATACACTGCACTTAGTATTGCAGCACATCAACACTACCTTCCAATTTGCATGATGTCAAGTTTATACTTTAGCAGCTTTTAAATCATCCTTTTGGTACCAATGGACGTTGTATTGAGTAAATCAAGCGCTCCCTGTCCACCTTACATTGCCTCTGATTTCACATTATTGGATACTTACTTTAGATTACATTGCTGCTAATATAGTTCCAGTTACAAGTGTGAGTAGCAATGTAGCTATAGGTGTGGTGGGAAATCATGACATAGTCCCCGTTGAAATTGCTAAATTATATTTTGTGAACACCATAAACTAAATTCTACTCACCCACATCATATACAGTAAGGGTGGAGACAGAAAACCCAGAGATGGATGTTTTTCAACTGCAGCACATGAAACCAAAGCTGTTTGCATGGCTAGACAGTGTAGACATAATTCAAAAGGTGAACATGTGTATAGCAAACTGCTTCCAGATCCACAGGTTAATCAATTTCTTTGGAGTGTTCGAAAACATCTATTGAATCGCAATATTTAGTTTTTTGAGGTCTTGTAATGGTTTCTCAACAACTTAATTAACTTTAAATTGTAATAACAGCCAGGATGAACTCAGTCAATACTTAATGTTCTTTGTTATATGTTTGAATGAAAGTCAATTTTTACGTGGGTTTTATGCCTAAAATGATGTGTTCTTTATACCATGTCAGTTTTTCTAAAAAAATATTTTAAAAAACGCAATAGATCGCCATGCTTACAGAATCACAATATACCTCAATATATTAAATCATGATACATATGGTGTCTTTCCAATACACAGCCCTACACATGTCAAAGGTTCGACTTCATATGAGGGTGGGAAATATGTCTGTAAATGATGGCCTTCCGTCTACTACTACTACTAGATCCCATTTCAACGGGGACAGTATGTATTTTGAGGAATAGAGTACTTGTGAAGTCCTCCAAAGCCCAAAGCACGCTAGTCACATGTTCAGTTTGGACTTTGTGAAGTAAGGCTTGGAGCAGAGGATGGTCGTGAAAAGTATTTCGTCACATAATTTGTCTTTTTGTCCAAAGCACATTAAGACAATAATTAGAAAGCAGCTCAAAGTTGGCCAAATTGGTGTCATTTGTCAGTGGGATCAGCACTATTAACTTAACACAGTGCTGAGTAATATGATTTGACTAGTGATAAGAAACATTTCCAGAAAAAGAAAACACTGGAGACTCTTCATGCTGTGCGCCAAAGCCTCCTCAGTCCTCAGGATCCTAAACCTTGTATGGTCATGTTATTGTGCTTCTGTCTCTTACTGTAACTCACATTGATAGAGTCAATGCAGACACATGGTATGTCAGATTTTGCAGTGTGCACATGCTGTAAGCCAGACGAACACGGGCTTTAATATTTTATGTGATGTCTTTGTTTACAGTGTCAGGCGTTCAGTATGCGCTCTTGGAGTCGAATGTGACACTGGCATGCAGGAAGTCACAAATCAGGTAAGAAAGAGAACTATTTCCTTGTTTGAATTAGAGTTGGGTTTCTTTGTCTTCTAATGACAAAGACATTTTTCCGGCACATTCATGTGGGAGTTCAAAGGTTTTCTTTATTAGCCAAAAAAAGAAACTGGGTAGCTCCGCCTGTCAGGG